ACACACACACACACACACACACACACACACACACACACACACACACGTGCGCGTGCACACACATTCCAATTGTTAAGTTTTTTTGTGATTTATATTAGCTTGCTAAAGTACACTTCTTTAATATATATGTACAATTTTTACTGTTAACTCAATGGGGTGGAGGCCTGGTGGACCGTAACACAATTTTTACCTAGGTTGGACACTAGTCTCCGATTGTAGCATATTTATATCTATATTTGTACAAACTGCCATTGTAATATTTGTAAGCTATTGGGAGAAAATAAATTTCTGTTTTATTCTATTATAAATATTTGTATTGGTCTACCGGAAAATTCTTTTATTATCCGATCTCAAACATGAATACTCCCTGTCATAAGTACAATAGCAATTTTCACTTCATATTAACCAAAACATGCAGACCACCTGCAGTAGAACTCCAAGGAAGTCCAAGGAAGTACTGTCACCATAAATATTTCTAATGTGATCATTACTGAGTGCAAGCTTTGAAGAATTAAGGGTGCTGGTGAAATTACAGGCACCACTTTATGTGAACAGGGGGGCCTGTCAAGTCTTTGAGTGACATTGCAACTGTTGCAACACGTACCCATGTGTCACTTACCACCAGGACATATAGATAAAAAGACCAGAACCAATTTAGAAAACTTCATTTCCCAAATTGTTCCTACCAAGAATCGAACACGGGACCTCTTCATCCAGCACCCACAGTGCAAACCGTTGCGCCGCCGCCGAGGTCGTCAAAAATATATATTATTTTTATAGTACAATATAAAAAAACGAACTAACAAAATATCAACGAAGAATATACCAGTATTCTGAAGGAGAACATTTCAACAGAAAATCGGTTGTCCAACAGGCTATATGAATTAACGTCATAATAAATTGATTACTCCATTAATTACTTCATCATAATAATAACCAACGACCGGTTATCACGGACAATCACGAAGGTAATTATTTGTAATAACAAAAACACTAGCACGATGAACAATTATATTCGATTGCCATAATTACATTCAACAAAAACTAATAGTATGAAAAAACGTAATGTAACTCCACACAAACGTAGCAATGCGGTTTACATGTGTGCACACTGGCCGCGAGCCGTGTACGGTCGCACACATTCGCATAATCTCGCGTTGCACTTGAGTTGCACAGCTCGGGTCGCACATGCCAATTTCAATATTATTCTTTGTCGAATTTATATTTTTATATATATATACACATTTATCGGAATTTGTTATATTTACGGAAATAGTTATCACTTCAGATGTAGTGTAACGGAATTCGGTTCATTGTTTGTGTAATGTGGTTTATGAAAGGATAAATCTTAGCTAATATTATCACGTGTTATTTACTAATCATTAGAGAAACGATTTACTAGAGTATCTACGAATCGTAATAACTGGTATCGACATGGTTTCTTTGTTTACAATATCACGTCAGTTTGCTGGAGTCCTTTGAATCCGTTCAGTTTAAGCCGGTTTTATATTTGTCTGTTGTGTCGTGTCGTGACACGTCAGAACGGTATCGGTTTCCTAAACACAAACACACACAAGCTGTCACGTCAGAAAGCGTCACACTAATATAAATTTAATCATAATTAAATGTATGAAACTGATACTGTTTAGATGTGTCACAGCACGATACGTCAGATACATGTAAATACAGCTTCAATCATTCATCTCATATAGTCCTATGACATAATAGTCGTTGGTAGGGTTGCCATATAAAATTAAGGAGTAAAGTAGCTGGTCAATGCTTTATAAAATGAGCGCGTAGTTGACGAGATGGACTTTTCGTGTGAGTTACTTTGAAAGTGAACAAGCGCGGCCACTCTCTACAAACTTGCCGCGCGACATTTAAAATCCGTTCTAACGCGATTCACCTTTTGTACTTTCAAAGTAATTACTGTGAAAAGTAGATAAACGATTTAATTGTAATCAAATGACGTCATTATTTCACTGCCGATTGACGGATTGACAACGAAAAGTCCAATTATCAAGTGATTCCTGACAATATCAATGACGAGGGCGTTGTCCTCAACGTCTCCGTTACGGTCTCATTATGACATATATACAAACTCGCATTTCATTTCTGTGTCATAATCATACTCTCGAAAACGAGATACTATTCCGCGACAGGTACTGGCATAAAAATATCAATACGTAAGTGCTCCATTAGACAAAGGTTGTTTCAATATAAGACGTAAATACAGTGATGGCCTACGTACCTTATGGTACTTTACATTTTGCAATCTGCAGATGTAAGTAAATTACTAATGTAACAACCTTACGCTCCGAGTGACGTGCAAGCATTGACGTAACGAATAGGCAAGAGTTGGACAGCTTATCTTATTATACTGTAGCTTATCTTATTATACTGTGGCGCAACTATCAATTGGGGGACGTCACACTTGCGGTATCTTACTAGCGACATGAGACAATCTACCTTCCTCGCTAGTACCTGTGCATTCCTAATTACTCTAACTCATAACTCGATGTCACTGTAACCTTAACTAACGTTCACTTTTAACGTTAACAAACCTTAACTTAACCTCACCCTAACGTTTAACCTGCCTGAATTGATTTGATGAACCTGAATGAATTTTTTTTATCAATTTCATTGTCATATACAAAATATAAAATTGACCAGATAAAATTCATCGGTGTTAAAAAAAAAATAAAAAAAAAATTTTCGATAATTCGCAAAAGCGTGCTTAATCCTTAGACATTTTCAATGCGAGTAAATTATGTAACTGTGAATGCATCTTAGAACATTTAGATTTTTCATTAAAAATAATAAGATCCAAAGTACTTATTTCCAGAGCCTCATATACATACCAGAACCTCAGAACTCGCGCCTGTAGGACTAGCACCACAGAGCGTGATGGCGCAAGGAAGTCGCGTGCCATCGAGCTAGTCCTACTGGAACCGGTTGAGAAAAAAAACCGATAATTTTGATAATGAACTGAAAAACGTTTGAAATAGTATTTGATGCAATCGTTGCATAATTAGGGTTCTTAAAGTCGACTAAGTAATAGATACGAAATGTTAAGATCTAATTATGTAATGATTGCATATAACACTTTTTATATGAGTAAATAAACTTATGAAATAGAACCAATATTTTTGTGTATATTTTGTTAACAATCCTTGTTAGCAATTTTATTAAATAAATTTTACCACATTTATAATTATTAATACAAAGATCGAACACTCAGAAAAAACACTCAGAAAAAATTCCTTCGATCCGATCGGATTCGAACCGACGTCTTCTTGCATACCGTGTCAGACGCTATACCAACTAAGCCACGAAACGAACCAACGGACCTCACGAATTTTTCTATGTGCTTGCGTCGTGTCTTTGTACTTGGTCTTTCAACGACTTTTTAGTCGTAGCGCCATCTATGAGAAATCTATTACAGATTTATCACCCAGTTAATACCTTTACAGCTACCAGTCCTGGCGAGAGATGTCGCTATTCACTGTATTAATTAAATTTTTATTGAATTGATATTCAATTATAATTATAACAAACTAGTGGAGTGATTTCACAAAAAATTTCCGTTCCGTGGCTTAGTTGGTATAGCGTCTCGCACGGTATGCAAGAAGACGTCGGTTCGAATCCTACCGGATCGAAGGAATTTTTTCTGAGTGTCTTTTCTGAGTGTTCGATCTTTGTATTAATAATTATAACAAACTAGTGGAGTCATTTCACAAAAAATAATTGAATATCAATTCAATAAAAATTTTATTTTACCACATTTATTAGGGTAAGCAAAGGTTTCACCATACAACCTTTTCATATACATATTTAGATGAAAGCGAAACAAACGCTCCAAAACAAAAAACAAAGAGATAGAATGGAACTGGCCAAGTACCGCATATGTTTTAACCAATATTTTATTTTTTTAAAGAGCTATAGCCCTTTTATAAGACTTTTAGGCCAATTTAACCAATCAAGAGGCAATATTCCAGTAGTGCCTTTGATATTTTCATTAGCAAAAATACGACGTTCTGTTTTTGAAACTCATTATAGATTTGTATATAGAATTTTAACGAAATTTTTCAGCTCAGTGGCGAGTATCATTGACACAATTTTGATTCAGAACTAAAAAGAGCGATATGGTTTATAAAATTATAATTGACAGATTAAAGTACAGGAATAGAAAATACTGGACACAAGTAAACTCGTTTAATTTAGACGCTTGCCGTCGCCATTATTATTATTTCTCATTTAATCTCACTTATGCAGTGCTTGATTGCGTGAGGGTGAAGCAGCAACCTCCAGAAGTATGTGGCGAAACTTGTGGCTGAGCGTTCGCCACTATCTCACTCGCATCTGTTTATAAAGTACGTGAGTGAGAAAGAAAGTACTGAGTTCATAAAGTTTGTCTAGATTTCGTCACTGCTAGTGCAAATGCTGTAATTTATTTGGCTCACTACTCATCGTTCTTAAGGTACTTATTGGCTCTTATTTAGTGGTATTAGTAGAACTAGCACAGATAGCCTAATATACTCGATAACTATCACACAGACATTCAAGCAGAGTGAATTTTAATAATTGACTAAATTAAAATTGTTCGGTGATCTCGTTTAATATAAAGCGTTGGTACTGTTTTGTGTGATCAATACTTAATCTTAGAATATAATAGCGCGTAGAAACCTAGCCCGCTAATGCTAAGTGAGGCAAATTGAAGCGCTCCCAAAGGGCCTACACGAGCGGGCGGGCCTTCAGTGCTCAAGGTCAACTTGCACCGCGAACAGCTCCAGAATTTTAGCTAAAAATGACGAAATGCGGTAAATGAGTTTAAAAATACGTTAGACAAACATAAAACAGATACTAACATCACATTCCACAAGGAAGTAACGCGTTTCAACTTGTATTTCTATATAAATATTCACTAAAACCGAAAATTAACCTACTACTAAAACTAGCCTACATGAATTTGATTTTTGCCTCACTTGTGACAGTTCGTTTGATATGAAACTATCATTCTATGCGTTATTATTCTAAGTACTTAATCATTTCCCATAATTTCCAATGCCTTTTATTAACATGTAGTGCTCTGCCCTATAGCATACGCAATTTGAAAAAAGAAACAGATTTAGGCTCAATTTATATTGCGGTGGAACGGTGTGGAAGCGAATTTTTGTAACATAGCATATTGAATTTTATGGTCAACTACACGACTACATACGAGCCAATATCTTCCGCGGATGTCTCGCGCGTGTTCGCGCATTCCGCCGAAGATTTTGGCTCGTTTCTTTTCTGTACGTTACACAATTTAATCATAAAGTTAATTATGCTATGTTACAAAAATTCGCTTCCACTCCAATCCGCCGCAATATAAATAGAGCCTTAGGCTAGTATCTGTATTATGGCTGTCACGTATGTCACATCTGTTACACGCGAAAGCATTGTGTGCAACTATTGTTCAAACAGAAACTCATTAGTTTTGCATAAAATCACAATTCTACATTAAAAACTAATGACGAGTCGAGCAACCTCTTCCAATCTATTTGTTATAAGGTTTTAACTAAAATAAACGTAAAATACCGAATGAAAGTGACGAGATAAACTTAAAGTAATAATTTTGTATCCGTCGCAGTAAACTTATGAAAAAGTTAAAGTGATTATTTTCCTTCGGGTTAACCCTGTTTCAGAAATTACCGGTTTCCGAGCCGTTTTTAGACCGACAGAACTATCAACCAATATCTTCATCTATTATCTCCGAAGAGCGAATACGCCTTTTTGGTTACTCAAACTATATAGTTTACAGATGCTATATAATTAGTTTGTTTTTAGATGAGGGAAAAACATTCCTTTAAAAATTAAATAAACGCAGTAACTATGAAAAGGCATCACGAAGGTTTTTACTATTCGTTTTTTACTATTTGATATCGGCTTTTTATATTGTACTTGTACATAACCTGACATTTTCAATAAAGTTACATTACGAAACTTTGATGTCGCAGCCTATCTTTAAAGAACCAGGAAATTCCAACAAATTTTACAAAAAAAGAAATTGTTCAGTGAAGGAATATGTTATTTATAAATCATATTTTATTATTCTACACTATCAGCTAAAACAATTTTAATAACCAAAAATTATGACCGAAATTATCCTAGAATTTACATTCAAAAGCAACTTTTTGCCACCACGGCCATGGTGGACCATGAAAGAGTCAGTTCATTATAGGCAACTCGCACCCGAATTTGGTAAAAAAAATAATGACATCACAATGTTGAACGGCTTAGCGATGGCAACATCCAGTTGCGCAATGGGAAGTAAACTAGTCAACAGCTCGGTCACCTATCTGGACAATATGGAGGGGGCTGTACGGACACCCGGGGGCGCACACGCAAGGCACTACGCCTTTTAAGGTCCGGATGTAGTCTCTATCAACGGGCTGATCTGGGGTCAGGAGATGACTGATTTTTGGTTTTGTAGCAGTAGAGCTCCTTGTGAAAGAGTTCGTCCAGGGTAATACTGCTACCTATTTCTGTCGAAATTACAGGGACTTTAGAACTTATGTCTCAGGATGACTATGGACAGGCGTGACGCTTGCCACCAGGCGCACGTCTTGTTTGTCCCGTCACATAGTGTCATAAAAACAAAGGTCCCAGCGCAGGGTTGCTTGCACAGATAATAGTGCATTTCCCGTGCAACAAAATATTAGATAGAGATGGTACTATAATCAAAACTTAGTAGAAGATATAGGACTATTAAGGACGGGTCTCATGTAAGAAGAGATTTTAGGTTTATTTTAAATATTAATCCACCAAGCAGGCGCTTGAGAGTTTGGTACTTTACTCGTTTTCCAAGGTTACTGAACCTTCACAAACGTACGTATCTAACAAATTAAAGTCATTACTCTCGCCGCCACAGTCGAGTCGGCCTCTGAATTGAAAAACTGTTGTCCCACTGCCCACCGACCCGCTCTGACATTAGTACAAAATGACATAGAGACAATAATCTGAGCGCCTTATTTAGCGACTATTATATATATTGTATTACACAGTATAGTTAATTCAAGATGTGTTTTCCAGGTGGCGTCAGTAAGCCAACTGTCCTTCATAGTGCGACCGGACAGCTTCGAGCGCGGTCAGCTTCGCCTCACGTGCATCTCGACGGTGCACTCTGTGTACAGCGAACGCGCTGAGCTCGTCATCAATGAGGAGCGGCCGCAGATCGCCTCTGTGCTGGGCACGAGGGGGCACGCTACAGGTACTTTTTCAAATCGCGTGAAAGTGACTTCTCACGGTCCGTGATGATACCGAAGGGAGGATCTACGATAATGTAGAAGTGTAGGTATGTGGTAGCAGTGCATGGATGCGATAAATGGACGGGGTCGGTATGCGGCGATGGTTTCTCATTCTGGCATTGGTTATTACTACTTAATGCTTATTAAAAGATGGCATCTGTGTGTGGCTGTAGGTGATCGTGATAAAATCTGTAAAACCACAGACCGTTGAAAATAGCTTTCTTATCGCTTAGCAGACAGCAAGAAGGTAGCTCTGCAGTTCCCATTTTAAAGAAAACCCCTAACTAATTTATATGACCATTGCTTTGCAAACACAAGTTGAAAACAAATAAAAAACTTTTGACAATATATGGACGACAATTTTAACATAATATGTAAAGACAAACCGTATTATTTGGATCGCACATCTACTACCTAAAAGAGAGAGAGAGAAACCATTAATGTTACAACAAAACCAGAGTAAATCTGACGAAGGGAATAACGTAGTAAGTCAAATATTACCTTCGTTATTTTGTAGCCGTATTTAAACTGGATTGGACATTAATCACCAATAAATCCTGTGAAAGCTTTCACAGATCGTCGCGGTTCAATGAGCGAAATCATTTCGGGCTTGAACCTCCTTCATACTGCGATTGAATAGAAAATGGAAATCATAACGTAATTGTACGTCACTCAATATTTATGGAACCAAGAACGAAATGAATAAGAATATAGCATTAGAGTTACTTATCAATTCCTGCTGCCAAGTAGTAATGAGCATTACCTACTGCTTTCCGTTTTAACGCTGGTCGAATGGTTACCACTCTGGACTACCACGCAGAGGTCCCGGGTTCGATTTCCCGATCGGGAATAATATTTGTATGGCCTACACTTTTTCTCTCGTGAGTTTGGTTGTAATTTGTGATTGTCTATGTTCATAGATCTAAGGTTTCCCAAGCGCGGGCTATGTTGAGCATGTGTTATTATTACTATTATTATTATTATGTAGTTTAAATTGTTTTTGCCCTCGATTTTGGGCATTAATGGATTTTAACCCGGCATTGACAAGTGCCGGGTTAAGCCCCGGACACTCGCCCATCTCCGTTTCTGAATAATTTTTCGAAATGGCGCTTTCGCCCTCTTTATAAAACATCGACGATATCATGTAGTCGTAAGCACTGTAATTCGAACCAAAATAAATAACTATACATTCATAATAGTTGTTCAAATGTTAGCTAATATTGATTCTCTAAATGGAAGCTCGCTGTCGTACTGTTTCGAAGTAATTTAATTGTAAATTTATACAATAGCGGTACAATGAATTATTAATCTTATATTAAAGTCTATCTACGTCGACATTCGTTTGTTTATTCTTTACTCCTTTATCGAATCTAAAACATTTCGAATGGCTTATATATCATAGTCGGAGCCGTGAAGTTTTTATTTCTCAATGTAAACAAACAGAGTGCATCAGAATTCGTGGAGAGTAAACCAATCCCTCTCTGCAATTCAAACATTTGAGCGAGTCGTTGCAATTTGCAGAGAGATCTTTTGAGGTGAACGCAATATAGCAAATAACATTTTAATGTTGATTTCGAATACGAAAATAAATGGAAACATCCTTTGATACGTTGTGGTGGGTTCAGATCATTGCTTAGGAACTGCGTCCAAGTAATTTCAACCGCAGTTGCCTTCCAAACACTTAAAAGAACATTTAAATGCGGACTGTAAGTATGCCAAACTTTTACACGCAAGCCGAACTTCGAGATATCTTTCTCTATTCTTAGACTTGAATAGGAAAGAAGGCGACAAAATTTCACAGTATTTTTCAAGGAACAGGGTTTTTTGTCGAACAAGTCGTGCACTTAGTAATAAGCGGCACGTCGGTATAGCAGTTGCAGTGCCATTCGGAGCTTTGAATCGCAGCAGCGACATCTATATGCTCCATGGCGACACTGACAGTTGACTATAGACTATCAAGAGTCAACTTGTTTTGTTAATTTTTCTACATGAAAATGCGGAAAAATAATTGAAAATAATGTAATTATAATATATTTTATTATTGCATACTTTTCTATTTTTAACAGTTAAATTTCTCTGAATGTAAATACCATAAAGTACTTAAACATTACGATAAGGCGATTCGGAACATCAAAAAAGCAAGAGATTGTCATTGGCTTACAAATAAAAAGTCAATGGAGATTGTATTATATAGCTCATAGTCTTATTTTTTTCCTATTTTTAGTAAGAAATACACAATATTCGGAAATCATTGGTTCTTTCAATTCCTTTAGCAATAATACATTACTTGGTTGACAAGTTTGTCATGGTACGAATATCAGTAATATTATAAGCTTACATTGAAATAAGATTGTTTTTGGAAAGGTTATTGTAGGCCCTCAGGACGAACTCTTTCACAGGGAGCTCTATTGCTACTAAAATATCAGAAAGAGTTTGCCCCAGGAAATGCATGTCGGCAGACAAGTAGTAATGTGCGCATTACTGATTTATGTTTGGAAGGGCAAAGTGTTGGTGAAAGCACATGAGATTTATCAACTGTATCTAGGGTATTAGGTGCAATGGCAATGCTTTTCTGATTTAAATTTTAAATAATAGTAGTTTATGTGACTGCTACATAATAAAAGGCATTAAAATACGAGTGAGGGTTTATGAAATACATCTCACGAGTGTCCCGTCACTCGGTGTCCTAAAATAAAATCTTTATTAGTCTATTATTTCTTCGTACAAGTTGATATATTTATGAAGGGAGTAATAAATAACGCACACACTTATGCGGGAAACCCTGTATAGTGGATGCCATGGATACGCACATAGACAACCACAAACTGCACCCAAACTCGCGAGAGAAATAAATGTAGGCTCATTGACTTAGAAATAAATGGACGACGGGTCTAATACAAAAACCACGAAAAAAATGTCCCAAGTTAACCTATTTAAACGTAGTGACATGTAAAGGAATATGAAAAAGCTAAAACGTTGAATTTAAATTGTAATGTCAACGAAGTACTGTCTAATTTTACTTGCTTCGCTGTCAGTCGAATAAACGAAGACTAAAGCGTGAATTACGTTCTGTATACGATTTTAACGCCCTATAAGTTCGGACACTTTTTAGCGCGGACCCGACGTCCATATAATTGTAAGTCAATGTGTAGGCTATTCAAATATTTCTCCCGGCCCGGGAATCGAACCCTCTAAAGATCTACGTGCCAGAGCAGCATAGTAAGGGCTCTTACACATAAACACGATATGAGATCGTGTCGTGGAAATCTACGACGAGGAACGTAAAAATTCCACGTGTCACGACGCACGCCACGACATCGTACCGTAGAAACTCACGGTGCCCAGTTGTAGTCTTCTGATGTTTTGTCCCATACTATAGGACGCTCCTCGACTAGGATTATTTAATAATCAACCTAAATTCTGTCATCTTTAAATATTGAATAACAAATGACTGCGGCACTGGTGAGCGCACCGTGAGTTTGCGTCGTGACGTGAATTTTTATGTTGCTCGTCGTAGATTTCCACGATACGACATCGCATCGTGAAACGATGCCGCGTCGTAGCACGACGCGACATCGTATCATGCTTATGAGTAAAAACCCTAACCGTTCGGCAACAGAGGCAATTAAAATCGAATGGAGGAATATAGTGGAAATGAGGGCGAGATGACGGATGATACAGAAGAGCTAGAGGTGAATATTTTCATTAGTCTACAGTCATCTCGTTGGAAAAATACATGCTCTTTCGAGCAATCCTTCCATCGTTATGTTTGTTTTTCCATCCTCGTAAAGCACTATCTTATTCATGTTTAAATCTTACGACGTTCTGTAATATTACACATGTATTACACACATACGTTGTTAGGACCTCGGCGGCTCAGCGGTTAACACTTTGTTTTATGACTGTTTGTCGATAAAAAAATTCGATAAGTCGGGGTCTAAAGTTAAATTTACTGTGTTAAATAATCATTCGACTGTTTACATACACACGTTTTAAGTCCTTTTCACGTTGGGGTAGGCTAAAACCACACTTTTTTAATATGTTTCGCCTTATACACGTGTCCAAATAGTCATGGTTTAGAACCGAACCTTCAGACATCATTTCGGCAATTTAAGGATCATGTCATGAGATTACAACTTGCACTTTCTATTATGTTTAACAATTCAAATACACAAGGCGAAACGTACATAGGACAGTCCCGTGACTGCGTGGCGACCCGATCGAAAAGTGGGTCCGACCGCGCCTGCCAACAATGTCACGACTCTGTCGAAGCGCGAGAAACGTTGTTGTGCGGACTGCCCCGCTCGTTGCACGTAACATAGGTACAGTGACATTTGAGATTTGAAAGGGATGTATTGATGTAAAATCGAAAGAAAAAAAGAGGTTTGAATATCTTATCGAAATAATTTGTAACGAAGAGATAATCGATTTAGGGACAATAATTTAAGAACAAAATAAAAAACAAAATAAGGCGTAATCGATTATTATGTTATTAGGTTAATAAAAAAGTACATAACAAATAAAAAAATAACAATAACTTAACAAAAAGTCAACAACAAAGCATAAAGTCAACAGCAACGAAACGGAATTTGAATAATTACTCCAAAACCGTTACGCAAAACTCAAAACAAAATAAATCGAACCACAGACAAGGTGTATGCACTCGTATTGAAGCGAGATACACAATAGCCGACTTGATTTATCGATTCTATGGTATCAATCTGGAAAATGGAAAAATGGAAAATTGAAAAATATTCCGTTTTACTCATCAAATAGTTGAGGTAATTTATTTATATCTTTATCATTGCTGTTTCTATCTACTTACTCAATACTCATTCATAATTAATGAATGAGATTGAATGAGAGATTATTTAAAACTATTATTCATGCAACGTAAAAATTTAAAATGTCGCAGCACCCATTCTATGTGAAATGGACTATAGATGGCGTGCTTGCGTTCCGT